AAAAAAAAAAAAAAAAAAAAGGCAGCAGCCCATATTTGTGGCAAAAAGTCATCCAGCTGCTGAAGTATTATTTGAAAAAGAAGCATCTCTGTGTTTGGAAAAAGATAACATTCATTTGTATTCCTGCTAGTCACAAATAACAAAAAAGGTAACCACTGAGGATGATAATATGATTTATCCTGTTGTGTGTTTAGAGGAAAACATTAGGACCTTTTACCATCTCTTGTAATAAATTTGCATTTTAACAGGACAGAGTACTTAAAAAGTCAGGGGGTGAGCTGTATAGAAATAACACTTTGGCATCACTGTTTTGCATAAGCAAATGAGGACTGACAACCACTAAGTGCAGTCTGTGCTTTACTGAAGAAAAATACAATCCATGGTAAACACAAAAATAAGTTCCAGACTGTGGGTCCTAATGAAAAAATATTCCTCTTGAGGGGCAAGATCACTGTGCACCACCATAGTACAGTTGCCATCTACTCTCCTGGCAGGGCTGGAGCCACTGAACGCTGTTCAAAACGCTGTTTTGATCTCTGGGATTTACATATGTGAGTCTCCAATCAGGCTGCATTTTTCCTAGGTACTTTCAGGGAAAGGTGATCTGCCCTATAATCTTGCTTAGCTTCTGGTCATTAGAATATCAGCGCTGTGCATAATTTGAGCAGGCTTATATAGCTCACTTCTAACATACAGGGACAAGGGGGCAGATTATAGTAATTTTTCCTGATTGGCAAATGAAAGGCAAGGGAGGTGCAGTTTCACTAAATTGCTCCTAAGGCAGTCAGTAGCTGCTGTAAGGAGCAGTCCTGTTTTCCCTTCCTTCTTGCTCCATGTTCCTACCTGCTCTTGTTTGTTAGATTTAGAGAAAGTGTTGGATCAGCTAACAAAATTCACCCAGATTTGTGTAATTCAGAGATTTATTTTTTTTTCCCCTAAGGAATAGGGGTGGTAGCAGGCAAAACCTTAGCTTAAATTTGATACAAAACAATTTTCCTTCCAGCATCTCAGTATAAGAAGCAAATGTGAACATTTCTTGGTTAAGCAGAATATTTATTACCAAATTAATAGTACGAGTTTAAATGTATTCAAATATATTGAAACAGCAGGAGATTAAATATATTTTTCATTCTAGAAGTTGAATGTTGGTTATATGTATTTCAGAAATGACACTTGTCTTCCCTGTCTGAAATCTCTACTAGAGAGCCTCTTGAAAGTAGTTCAGCTTCTAACTAACCTCCCAAAGCATGTCTGCACATTTCTATTCCCAGCTGCAGAGTCAGGATAAAATAGAGGTTGAATAGCAGTGAACACTTGTAAAATTGTATCTCACAAATCACACTAAGATTTTTTTTTTTCCTATGCACTTTCTTTTGCCTTCAAGTATCTAGTGGCTTACCTGTTATTTTAAAGCCTTTAGCATTTTCTAAAATGCTAGTTAAGAAATTGTATAAAAGGGGACGGGTTTTCTTAGTTGTTGGCCACAGCACCTGTAATTTAGCATGATAATTCTTCAGTATCAATTAACAGTCTGTACAAAATTGCTGTATGTGTTCAGGATTTAGAACTGCTGCAAGAGCCGTATTCAGAACTTTTGGGGTGTTCAAACTCTTGGTAGCATGGCAGTCATTTTTTAATGCATAACACTGATCTAGCTTTTGTTTTATTAATAATAACGATGTGTGAGGAAATGTCAGATGGAAGAGATCTCTTAAAGTCAGATTTCAGATGCTGAATTTTCATGTTTACCCTGCAGTCTCCAGCATATTTAAAGAAAATAATTTCTGTAGTGTTTGAAGTTGCAAATGTTAAAAGCTATTCAGCCTCAGTTTTCTCATCTCTAATACACTGTAATGCACAAAGAGTACTTGCAGGCAATACATACTGGTTTTATCTAGCCTGACAGAAACAATACACTGGCCTTTACATAAATACTAATTAATCTAAGTGGAAACTGCTGGAGGTAATATATATATAATACTATATTTATCTTTCTGTCCAGTGCAAGGCATGCTTTTATTTAGAAATGAATTCCCCCCAAAAATTAGATTCTTGCCATAATTGATTCAAGGAAAGGTTTGTAAATCATGCAGGTCCTTAAAGTTGAATTAAGAGCTCTAATGGTGAGGCAGATGGAGTCAAGAATGTAGACAGAAACTGGGAAGCTGCACGGGCCTCTGTCTCTCTTGGTCTCACAGTCAAGAAGCTCAGAATAAGAAAGCTGAGATCATGAAATGTGTGATTCTAAGTCGTAACTTCCACTTAGGCCATCCTAGCTTATCTGCTTCTACAGCTTGGTCACAATATTGTAGATTCTTTATTCACTAGCTGATTAAAGACACTAAAAATAAAATATTTCTTGGGCTTGAGGAAAGGCAACAGATGAGACAGAATCCGTTCCTTTTGCCAGGTTTTATTTCAACCTGAGATACTACTGCAGATGGTAAGGAAGAACATCATCCTGGCACAGCCCGACTTCCGTGGCAGAGCTGACAGTGTCATGCTCTTTGCAGAAAGAGATGCACTCCATTCTTGAGGTGGGAGTCTGGGATATCTGGCACTTTGCATCTGATTCTGCATTGAAAGGGATTTCCACCATACCAACTCACAGGCTCTCCAGAGTACACAGATAAGAACTTTGCATGATCTTATATTCCCCAGTGTAACAGCTCCTCCATATTAATGAGGGTTAAAAAGGGTTCATTTTATCCAGTAGAACTCCTTAAGGAAAAACAAACCTCTCACTAAAAGATGTCTAAGGTTAAACAACTGAATTCAAGGCAAACACTTCAGGGAGTAGGATATTAAAAACTGGATCAGAGTTCACAACATTATACAAAAAGCAGAAAAAAGAAATACTGAGCAGGTAGGTGGAGACGCTTGTGTCACAGCTTTTGTATCACCGACAAGGTAAAAGCTACATACAGTGTGTATTTCTAAGATCAACAGTAAACATACTCTTTTGCTCTTAAAAGTATCTATCTTATGAACTGGGAGATTGTGCTTTTGACTTCTATATTTATTCGGTGTTTTTAAATCAAGATGCACTGATTTGCACTTTATCTCATAATGTCATGACTTTTACAACAGTCAGCACGGATGGTTCTGTGTTTCTGTACAACAGCTGAAGAAAATGTCAAGTACAAAGAAATGCACTGCTCTCCCGATACAAATGAACTTATCATGTGAATGGTGAAACAGAGAACTTTGCCCCTATTATAGTAGAATGGGAGATAGTGGATTAACACTCCAGACTTCTAATTAATCACAATGTGTCTCATCCTCTTGATTGCAGCTGAGTAGGCCATTCGTCTTAACTTAAACCAACAGCTGTCCAGCATTAGCAGTTAGCGGTTAGTACGGTGTCTTGGGCAGCTGTCAGCCTAGATGACAGTGTTGCAATTCTGAATGTTTCAAAAGTAGATTTCAGAAAGATTCAGAAACATCCTTAAATGTGAACTATACTTTTATTGTGTGAATACTTAAAAAAGCCCTACAGAACTTAAATTCTAAGAATTGAGTAACACTCTACAGTCCTTATGCTATTTTCTCATGCAAAAAAAGTACAGAACATTACTGATTATGGTTCCTTTCTTCTATAACATGCACAAAGTATTTCCTACAAACCAATTACAATTATCGTCAAAATTTTACAGCTTTACTGAAATGGGAATTCCAAAATTTGTTATGCACATACCAAATTTATTTTAAGATTATACAAATTAATCTTATATTGCTTCTCAGGTAAAACTTGTACATCACTGAACTACTACAATAAGATACAAATTTAGACTACTTAATTTTTATTTCAACTTTTTAAAGAGGAATACTGCAAATAAATTGAAGCCATTGAGTCAACAGATACTATGCCAACTCTGTATTTCTGAAATAGCATCTCTCTTCTCAGTTTTAAGGCATCTGAAATTCAAACTAAATTGAGCTTTTCTCACTATCAAAAGCCAAACTAAGAAATTCTCTCCAGAGAAAGACACAGTATGTCACTTTCAAAAAGAACTATCTTAAGGCAATGTGCCACTGCTACAGGCTGCACACAAACCACAGCTATTTTCTTCTGACCTGTTGTGTTTTCTAAAATGTAACAGAGAGAAATCTCAGTGATGAAAGAAGTGTACTAGTATCTATTCAGACAAAAGAATATGATAGAAATTTAATCTAAGATCTACAGACTAAACAAACTCCATATAATATGCTTTTATTATTCATAAAAGGTATTCCCTTTTTCAATTCACACTACAGAGAAACAGCAATGGACTGTAATACTGATTCTTCAGTTATCTATAAAACTGTGGAAAAATAAGAAAACTGAAGCCTAACTGAATTTGTCACATAGCATTACTGGACTGTCAAACCCCACGTATCATCAGTAGGGATGGTAACGAGGCCCTGGGTTGTAGGAGTTGTAGCCATATTGTCCATAGTGGGAGGAGTACGATTGTCCTTGTCTGTGCTGCTGGTAGTTATTACCCCAACTTCTTTCTGGCCTCTGATTAGATCTATAGTCACCTTGCCAGTTGTATCTGTCCCCTCTATAATATCTACCATCTTGAAACCTGAAATTAAAAGAAAAAGATTCACACCAACTGTGAGTTTTTAAGAAGATGAATGATAAATTTTACAGTTTTCATTAAAACTGTCATGTAACTGTTTCTACACTCAATTACTTATCTGTTTTTATGACAAACTGATGAAAACATCTACAGAGATAATCCATTAATTTCTTACTACTACCCAACACACTATTTGCTAAGCAATAGCAGGACAGTGTTTCCCAACACAGAGTATTCCCAGGCATTAGGTGAACTACTGGAACTTTGAAGAGAGACTTAAACAGACCATGTATTTAAAAAGCAACCAGAAGATACATCTGTAGCTGTATCAAAGCCAGGTTCAATCTAGTAGCTTCAGGGTTGGAAGCTGTTGCAAAGCAGGCTTAACTACAATTTAACTACCTAACAGCACAGAGTCCTGGAATTTGCATATTCCCTAAAATACATACTGCCACTGCTTCACCGTCTCTTGTAGATTCCCATACTCAAGGGAGCCATTTTTCAGTCTAAATTCTGGGTTTTCAGTTGTATCTCAATTCCTATCAACACCTGAGCTGTCTCGCAGTCATTTTCTTTGGGTATCTCAATGGTGTGGTGAAGACAAAGAACATTTACACAAAGTTCACTCTGTGACCAGAGTGTAGATGTAAGAGTTCATTAGTTCCAAGAACCACAAAGTTTTGTAAGAACATATCCTTAAACAATTACTTTTTTTCTTAAATCTGTAGAAACTAATTCTGCGTTTAACTTAATGACAAGCTTCTAGGGGAAGAATCTTTCTTTTCTTCAGATAAGGCACAAATCCTATTTAGATATTTATCTAAGAAGTCTTCACAATTGTTAGTTGAACTGGAGTTTAACTACTTGATATTTAAGGCTGAAGTTAGTACTACCAAACATACTATAAGCTGTAATTGCTGGTTTTCAGTCACATAAAAATCAGATGTTACTGTCCAGAAATTAGTAAAAAGTTGCAATTACATCCTGAAAAAATAATTCAAAATATTTTGCAGTAGGCAGGTAACACTGCATTTGCTAGACAGATTGGACGATGGATTTTACAGTCATTTCTACTAGATAAAAGAAATACAGGCTAATCTAATGAAGTACAGCAAATATTTAGGTTACAAATGAAACATTTTTCTGGACAGTCAGCAACAGATAATCATACTATTAGCCTGTTCCTTTGCACATTTTCCTGCTGGTTATTATCCAACAGAAGATAGGCTGCTTACTTTTGCAGAACTCTCATCTTTGCCCTCTGGAAAAATGTTCCTGGCTGAGCAGTAACATACCCCAGGGCAATGGGTTTGGAGGCTGCAGCTCATTCCTTACTAAAAAGCAAATTACTTAATACTTGTATACACAATGCAAAAACATTGATACAGAGAAAATATAAAACCTCATTACTTTTCAGAGACGACTATTTCTCTTAAACATAGTTACCTATGAAGTAACAAGAAGATATTTCTATTAACAGAACAAATTCCTTCCTATCTTCTGGAATAATAATTTAACTACATATTTGTGAAACTACCAAGATTAAAAAAAACCCCAAAAACCAAAACAGTACCGATCTCTGTTTCTCTGGTTGCCACCAGATCTGTTTCTCCATTCTTCAACTATAGGAGGGGGATCTGCAGGGCGTTTCAGATATTCTTGGTATTCTTCATCATCTGATGTGAACCGATGAGCAAACATCTTTTCATAATTCAGGGGCATGTCGACCAAGGAAGTCATTCTGAAAACTTTTAAGCATGAACACAATAAAAGTGGCTTTAGCACTGTATGCAGACTCTCATTGTAATAGCTACCAAAAATCCACTTAGGGTAAATGAAGGACAATGAAAAGTTACACTCAGATTAACATAGCAGTTAAGTTTTGGGCAGACAGCATAGATGGCTGACTCTTAAGTCTTGATGATCTAAGACCATAAGTAACTCTCCTGAATAGGTTATCTCTGATGGAAAGCAATTCCAATTCCATGTGCAGTCTTTGGACATCTGTACTGGATATGTAGACACTGATCTGTCTAAACACTGGGAGTGGTTTTAAGGGACTCCATCCACACAGCAGAAATTCAACTCAGATTAATACCTAATATAGTCAGCCATTACACAGCAGCATCTTTGAATCAGTTTTGATAGACCTAGATTAGATAAACTGTGGTAGAAAGATATGGGACATTTCTGAGGGTTAATAATAGAAAAAAGCATTTCTTCAGAATGCACTCCCAATCTACTCAAATTTTGACAGGAAAAATATTACTACAATCAACTTGAAAAGTTTGCTAAGGTAGAACATCATGCAAAGCCTACAGATACACACAGCCAGCAAAGCAAAATAATAAGATTTATTCACAATAATTTACGTGTTAATAACTTGATGCAGGGAAAAGACAGCAGCTAAGAGGATGTTAAATTGCCTCATAATATGGCCCCCCAATGGGATTTGTGTTTAAAGCCTTACTTTCCTTATTTACCTGGCTATACATGTATCTGCCTTTCAGACACTGGTGCTATCTAGTACCGTCCATCAGTAAAAGTCTGGACCCAATAGCAGATGCTGAGAAAGGCTCTATGCGTACTGTTTTAAAGAGCCCTGGGTAATTTAGGGCATTAAAGGTCTTTGCCTCTAGACTTCCCGATTAAGCTCTTCTGCTGTCTCCTGAAGACTTGCAGGCAGGACCAATATTCACCTTGCAAAGTGGAATGAAAGGAGGAGACAGTTTTCTTCTGGATCTTGAGAGCTAAAATAGATACCTCCTCAATGACCAAGCCAAATTCTTCTCCCTGCTGTACCCGTGAGCAGCTTGAGACCGAGGTGAGTAAGGGGGACGTTTTGGGGAGTACAGCACAGTTCTCTTTCTGTAGACTGACCTCCTGTTCCGTCAGCTTCAGAAAGGTCAGTGTCTGGTGATCTCCAGAGCCATCTGCAGCCTTCCCCCTCCCACCTAATGACGCAGCTTAAACCTTTCTGAAGCAGGTGTAGGAGTTATTCCTGCAGGATGTCCAGTGACTTCATCCTCCTTTTTTGGTAATATCCTCTTTTTTTTTTGCTAACCTTGTTAGTTTTTGCTATGAGCTGTCTTCAAGGAACTTCGCTCCTCAGGGGGTATCTCAGTCGGTGCCCTGGACACCCCCCTCATACCACTACAGCCTTCTCAGAGCTGTGGGAGCTGCTCTCCTCATGATTAATGATTTTAATATCCGTATTTATCCCGCGGGGCCAGTAACAAG